CCAATTATTCCAGCTGTAAAATTTTAACATATAAAATAAAGCCACACAATTAATAGCAACTCTAGTGACATAATAGGGCAAACTTTAATATCAATTTTACTTGAAATACTTGAGATTTATTAATAGAAAATTATAAAGTATTAATGAGGACATAGAGGAAGACATATCAAATGCAGTAGAGATGTGTGGGGAAGTAACATGCATATTTATTTTTATACCAATTAACACTAACATATCATCTGTGAGATAGTGAAATTCGTCTAAGGAAAAAGTGGCAAATAGGATTCATGAAGCTCTCGTCCTAGCAGATTTTAAAACATAATGACTTTAATCAGAGTTAAAGAATAATAGGTTGCCCATAGAAAATCTGAAAAAAGGACTCTTAGTGTTCTAATTTCAAAGGGTTCATGTGACATGGTGATTACATAAACATAGTGGTTTATTGGGAAGATGATGATTAAAAGGAAAGATCTAGGGCTAATGATGAAAACACACAACTAAAAGCTGTCTCCCCTCAGAAGCAGGATAGTTGTCCATGTAGCAGAGTTCACAGACTCCAGTGGTTTGCAGGGTGGTGGCTGGGGTTGAAAAACTTGGGAGTGAGGGTGCTCAGCCAAGACCCACTCAGCAATCAAATGGCTGCTTGGGGGGTTACTTATAATTTAAACAATGGGTATCGAAGTGATTCATCAAATCACTTTGAAAGAAAATTGAAAGGTCCTATTCATCCCTGTTCCGTTACACCTAGACTCCTCCTCCTCCAGACCCCTACTTCTCTCCATAAGCCATGTGATTAAATAAAACTTAAAACAAGGTGCTGAGCCTCAAGATTATATTTTAAGTTACATAACTGGATCACAAGGCTAGTCCAGAACATTAAACTTATTTTACACGGCAATAGGAATATTTTTTTGAAAACATTTATGAAAGGGGTTCTCCATATAAAGAACCCCTCCTATCCAGTGTAGTGGACACCAGTAATTAATCAGAACACCTGTTTAAAATGAGGACCACACTATGTTAACATCAAACACACAAATGCACATTCTTTGGCCAATCTTGATAGAGGCCCCTGTTCCACTGATTGGAGCTCTCAGTTGCCTTTTTGAATAAATTATTCAAAAAGTAAGAATGTTTATTTCTTAACAATGGGAAAATAAACAACTTTTAAAAACATATAAAAGCAGCTAAATATTTGTGTGGAGAAGAATTACTTTTGATCCAGACACAC